TTGAGCCACAACTCCACTTCCACGAGTACATTTCCTTTTGGACAATGTCACACCTTCTCTTGGGACCACACTTGGTCAAAACTTAGTGGAAAAGATCAGTGAATATAGCCAGGCACTGGTAACTCATGCTTGTAATCCTAGCTGCTCAGGAAGCTAAGATCTGAGGATCACTGGTTGAAGCCAGTCCAGTCAGGAAAGTCTCTTAATCTCTACTTAATCACCAGAAAACCAGAACTAGAGGTGTGGCTCAAAGTAGTGGAGCACTAGCTTGAGTTCAGGTCCCACAACCAACCAAAAAACATCAGTGAATATGAAAATATTAGAGACATGTTTTTGTTTTAATGTTAAGACTTTTGTTTTGGTGGTTTTGTTTTGGTATGAAGTCTTAAGGATATGGTGTGTAGCTGGGGGTGTGATTGGTGGTAGAGCCGCTGCCTAGAAATTGTTAGGCCCTAAGTATAAACTCTAGTACTCTACCCTCCTCTCCTTGCGGGGTAGGAAATAGTACAGTGTTTATTTTACGCTTACAAGCACATCTCAGTATGGACTAGCCAATTCAGGTGCTTTAATATAGCTATTACCTTCTTTTTTTTGGTTGATCATGGAGCTTGAACTCAGGGCATGTATGTTGTCTCTGAGCTCTTCTGCTCAAGGTTAGAGCTCTACCACTTTGAGCCACAGCACTACTTCTGGTTTTCTGGTGGTTTAATTTGAGATAAGAGTCTTGTAGACTTTCCTGCCTAGACTGGCTTTGAACCGGGATCCTTAGATTTTAGTCTCTTGAGTAGCTAGGATTACAGGCATGAGCCACCAGTGCCTGGCATATCTACCATTTTAATTGGCTATTTCTATACTATTTTGAACAATGTAGATGTGAAGATCTTGGAGTACTGGAAAAACATTTAGCTAAGACTTTGTTTTAGCTTGAGTTTGAACCATTTACATGATTACAGGTTCACACCTATAATCCTAGATACTTAAGAGGCTGAGATCTGAGGATCATAGTTTGAAGCTAGCCCAGGTAGGTAAATCCATAAAACATGTAAACATCTCCAGTTAAGCACTAAAAAAGTTAGAAGTGGACCTCTGGCTCAAGTGTTAGAGTACAAACATTGAACACAAAAGCGCAGGGGCAGTGCCCAGGCCCTGAGTCAAGCCTCAGGATTTTTTTTTTTAAGGTCAAAAGAAACAGATGAAATTCACTTGTTTGTTTATTTATTTGTTTGTTTTTGTCAGTAGTGGGGCTTGAACTTTGGGCCTGGGCGCTGTCCCTCAGCTCTTCAGCTCAAGGCGAACACTCTACCACTTGAGATACAGCACCATTTCTGGTTTTCTAGTGGTTTATTGGAGATAGGAGTCTCACAGTCTTTCCTGCCCGGGCTGGCTTTGAGCCATGATCCTCAGATCTCAGCCTCCTGAGTAGCTAGGATTACAGGTGTGAGCCACCAGCGCCCGGCTAGGACTTGATATTCTTTAACTCTATCCTTAGACATAGCCTCTAGTTTTACTGCTGTTTTTTTATATAAATTATCCAGCTAAGTTTAGATTTTCTTGCTCTAGTTTCTTATATTTAGGGACATCATAGTAAGTAGCGTATGGGGTTTGGGAATGTGGCTTAGTTGTAGAATGTTTGCCTAGCATGCATGAAGCCCTGGGTTCAATTCCTCAGTACCATATACACAGAAAAAGCTGGAAGTGGTGCTGTGGCTCAAGTGGTAGAGTGCTAGCCTTGAGCCAATGAAACAGCTCAGGGACAATGCCCAGGCCCAGAATTCAAGCCCTAGGACTGGCAAAAGAAAGGGAGAAAGAAAGCAGGAAGAAAGAAGGAAGGGAGGGAGGGAAAGAAAATAAGAAAAGGAAAAGGAAAGAAAAGGAAGAGGAAAGAAAAGGAAAGAAAAAAGCTTATGGGTTAGAAGCATGGCTCAATTGGTAGAGCACTAGTCAGTGAGTGAAAGCATCAGGTACCAAGTTCAGGCCTTAAAAAAAAAAAAAAAAGCTGGGCACCAGTGGCTCACGCCTGCCATCTTAGCTACTCAGGAGGCTGAGATCTGAGGATCGCCTGTCAGAGCCAGCCTGAGCAGGAAAGTCCATGAGACCCATACCCAATTATTCACAGAAAAAGTGAGATGAAGAGCTCGGGGACAGTATCTAGGCCCAGAATTCAAGCCCCACAACTGACAGAAAAATAAAAGAATAAACTTATTTTTTCCCTATTTCAAGAAGTACTATTAGTATTATTAATTTGCCAGTTCATGTTTTATAGGTCCTGAATTCAATGACTTTTTTGGGGGGGAGGAGGGGGAAGGGTCCGGTCGTGGGGCCTGAACTCTGGCCTGGGCGCTGTCCCTCAGCTCTTCAGCTCAAGGCTAGCGCTCTACCACTTGAGCCACAGCACCACTTCTGGCTTTTTCTTTTTGCTTATGTGGTGCTGAGGAATTGAACCCAGGGCCTCAGGCATGCAAGGCAAGCGCTCTACCACTGAGCCACCTTCCCAGCCCTCAATGACTTTTTAATGGTAAAATTCCTTCTATTTTATTTTCTCAGCAAATACTGGACATCTCTGACTAAATATTAGCTCAAGAGCTTATAATCATGTGTGATTTATTAAGATATAGTTTTTTCTTTCTTTTGATACTGAGGATTGAACCCAGGGCTTTGATCAGGCTAGGCATGCATTCTACCTTTTTTTTTTTCCCCTTTGATAGTAGGGTTTGAATTCAGAGCTTCAAGTTTGGTAGGCTGGTGTGGTACTACTGAGCCATGCTCCAACCAAACCCCTTTTTATTTTATTTTTAGTTTAAGACAGAGCCTCACTGAATTGTCCAGCCTGGCTTCATTCTTCCTGGATGCTAGGATTATAGGTGCATCACCATGTCCCAGCAAGATACACTTTTGAAGGCTAATATTTTTTTTTAAAAGTGTTTTATTTTATTGGGTCCGGTGGTGGGGACTGAACTCTGGGCCTGGCACTGTCCCTAAGCTCTTCAGCTCAAGGCTAGCACTCTACCACTTGAGCTACAATGCCACTTCCACCTTTTTTTTTTTTTGCTTATGTGGTGCTGAGGAATCGAACCCAGGGCCTCAGCCATGCAAGGCAAGCACTCTACCACTGAGCCACCTTCTCAGCCCCTGAAGGCTAGTATTGACATAGGTGACATGTTTGAACGAGAGGCCCAGCACCTCCTCTCAACTGGGAAAGGAGGAAGAATAGATTGATATGTTTATGCTAAGTTTCCAGAAGGGGCACAAGGCAGGAAGTTAAAGGAATTCACACCAAGTGACCTTCATTTTCCCTTCAACATGAGAGTGTGGTAACACATAAACCCAAAGATACATACTTTTTTAAATTTTTTATTTTTATTGTGAAAATACCGTAAGAGGGGTTACAATTACATGGGCAAGGCAATGAGTACATTTCTTGTCAAGCATTGTTGCCTCCTCCTTTGTTTCCCCTTCCCATCCCCTCCCCACCCCCTTGCCAAAGTTGTGAAGTTTGTATTTCGACATAACCTCTTGTACATCTCATTGTTGCAATGGGTCCGCCTTCCCCTCCACAAATTATAACAACATCAAACCAAAGATATATTTGAAAAATTAATCGCTATTGGCATATGACATGATTATAATTGGTCCCTTTTTTAGAGGCTGACTTTTTTTTCCATGTCAATGATTTAACAGGTTTACCATGACAGTGAGGAGGGTCAGAGATACATACAGTTTTATAAGCTAGGGGATTTCCCCTATGTTTCCATCTTGGACCCACGGACAGGTAAGATTTACAGCAGTTTGTAGCCTTTAACCTATTATTTATTTTTCAGTTACCAAAATCATGGATGTTTTACACTTGGCTAAATCTTTTTTCAGAATTACAATAATTAGGTGAAGGCTTCTTGTTCATTCCCTTTATAATTATATAAGCATCTATTTAGGGAATCTGTTTCTGGCAACTTGGGAGATGTCAGTATTTTTTGTTTGTACTATTATGTTCTTCCAAAGAATATGTAATATGCTAATTTTGTCATCAGTTTGTAAAGATTTTCTATTATTAAAATGTTAAGGTTGTTCATGCTTTGGTTGTAATCATACTAGAGAAACAGAGGGTTGCATTTTACTTAAGATACTGCTTTGTTTAAATTTCTTCTTCCCAAATGGCCAAAAACTGTATGAGCAGGTAACCCTAACCTGAAGGATAGGAAAACGTTGGGTGGGTTTCAATTAATTCAGTCTCTTAAGTTATGAAGTTAGCTATGAAGACACTATGTAACTTAAGCAAAGAAGCGATGGGGATATGTTTTTTAATTATACTTTTGCCAACATAAATACTTAATGAGAATGTCTTGAAAAATACTGATTTTATTATGCTTATATATTCTGGTTTTAATATTTAGGTCAGAAGCTAGTAGAGTGGCACCAATTAGATGTGTCTTCTTTCTTGGACCAAGTGACAGGATTTCTGGGTGAACATGGGCAACTGGATGGACTTTCTAGCAGTCCCCCCAAAAAATGTGCCCGATCAGTAAGTATGAGTACAAAGTAGTAATGAACAATTACGTGTATTGGTTCTCAAGCTTATAATCTTAATATATTGTATATTCTATGTGTAACTATATGAAAGTGTTGTAAGTAAAGTGTTAGATGTTAAGATGGTAACAGTAGTAATGTAAGTAGTAATGGTTACCATCTGTGGGTATACTACATCTTAAATGTCCATCTTCTCACGGAAATCATAAGATGTACAGTTCTTGTTTCTCTTGCACATTTCTTGTTTCTCTTGCAACTAGGCTCTCTCAAAGGTTGTTTCTACACTTAATTTCTCTACCATGCTATTCTTAGATACACTCTGATAATATCATGATTAGTTTCAAGTAAGAGACCTTCAAAAAATACAAGTCTCACATTTGCTGGCAGTGAGCATGTAACTTTGGCAATCCATATTGTGCAGTGGTTAAATAGTTCATTAAGTTATCATACTAGATTAAGTGTCTAAATAAGAAACAGCAGTAAAGGGTAATGTTCTTTTCTCTCTCTCTCTCTCTCTCTCTCTCTCTCATGGGGCTTGAACTCAGGTCCTGAGTGCTATCCCTGAGCATTTTCGCTCAAGGCTAGCATTCTACCACATTGAGCCACAGCTCCACTCACTTCCCCTTTTTCAGTGGTTAATTAGAGATATGAGTCTCACGGACTTTTCTGCCTGGGCAAGCTTCAAACCACAATCATCAGATCTCAGCCTACTGAGTAACTAAAGTTACAGGTGTGAGCCACTATTGCCCCCTTGTAATATTCTGTTTTAAGGCATAGAAAAATGTTTCTTTAATTGCCCTAAGATAGTTTCTTATCTTTTGCATATCTAAGGCTGATAACTCTGTTAGACTAATGCTTGTATCTGTGAATTGCTACCTTATGATTAAATTGAATTTGCAAAAAAATTTTTTTTGGGGGGTCCGATCGTGGGGCCTGAACTCTGGGCCTGGGCGTTGTCACTTAGCTCTTCAGCTCAAGGCTAGCGCTCTACCACTTGAGCCACAGCACCACTTTCGGCTTTTTTTCTTTTTGCTTATGTGGTGCTGAGGAATCGAACCCAGGGCCTCATGCATGCAAGGCAAGCATTCTTATCACTGAGCCACCTTCCCAGCCCCATGAATTTGCAAATTTTTGTGTATGTGTTTGTGTGTGTGTGCACGCGTGTGCGTGTGCGCACACGAGTACGTGTGTCTGTACCCATCCATAGTAAAGCTTGAATTGAGGTCTCACATTCTCTGTTGTTCAAGCCTGGCACTCTAACTTCTTGAACCAAACCTCCACATCCAGCTTTTTGCTGGTTGATTGGAGATAAGATTCTCACAGTCTTTCCTGCTTAATTCTCAGCTTCCTGAAGAGCTAGGCTTATAGACTTGAGCTGCTGGCTTCCAGCTTGTCTTAAGTTTATTTATTTATTTTTGTCGGCCATGGGGCTTGAATTCTGGGTGTGGGCGCTGTCTTTGCACTCTTCAGCTCAAGGTGAACACTCTACTGCTTGAGCCACAGCGCCATTTCTGGTTTTTCTAGTGCTTCATTGGAGATAAGAGTCTCACGGACTTTTCTGCCCTGGCTGGCTTTGAACCCTGATCCTCAGATCTCAGCATCCTGAGCAGCTAGGATTACAGATATGAGCCACAGGCGCCCAGCTGTCTTAAGTTTATTTATAGAAGTTTTATACTAGCTGGGCATCGGTGGCTCACATGCGTAATCATAGCTACTCAGGAGGCTGAGATCTGAGGATCACGGTTCAAAGCTAGCCAGGGCAAGAAAAGTCCATGAGATTCTATCTCCAATAAACCACTCAGAAAACTGGAAATGGCACTGTGGCTCAAGTGGTAGAGCACTTGCCTTGAGCTGAAGAGCTCAGGGACAGTACCCAGGACCAGAGTTTAAGCCCTATGACGGATCAAAAAAATATATATATATACTTTATTGAAGAACAATTAATGTGAGATTAAAAACTGGGTATATTTAAAGTTTATAGTATTATTACTATAATGTTGAGCATCTTCTCAAATGCTTTTTTTTTTTTTTTTGGTCGGCCGTGGGGCTTGAACTCTGGGCCTGGGCACTGTCCCTCAGCTCTTCAGCTCAAGGCTAGCGCTCTACCACTTGAGCTACAGCGCCACTTCCGGTTTTCTGGTGGTTTATTGGAGATAGGAGTCTCACGGTCTCGGGCTGGCTTTGAACCGTGATCCTCAGATCTCAGCCTCCTGAGTAGCTAGGATTACAGGCGTGAGCCACCAGCGCCCGGCCTCAAATGCTTTTTTACTCTTTCTGTTCTTTCTATATTTCTTTTAGTGAAGTGTTTATTTAGATCTCTATTTCCGATCAACTTTTTTTAAAGTGTGTTATTATTGAGTTGTATGGATTCTTTTTATATTTTGAATATAAGTCCTTTAATGTATATATGGTTTCCCTATTTTCTTTCTATCGTGGTTTACCTGTTCATTTCTATAATGAAGTAAACCCACCTGAAATGTAGATTTATCATTAGGTGTGTTTAAACTACATATTCTGAGCATTTCCTCAACACTCCTCTGAGTGTTTCCTCATAGCAGTCTTAACTGTGGATTCCAAAGGTCCTCTGTAGTATCATTTAAAGAACAAAACTGAAAGGTTTTGATGAAATCCAGTTTGTCATTTTACATTTTGTGTTTTCTGTGACACATCAGAAAACACCAAGTAAAGTTAGAATCTATCTTTTTCAAAGGTAGATTTAGTTCCTGGGTTGGTGCTGGTGACTCATGCCTGTAATCCTAGCTACTCAGGAGACTAAGATCTGAAAATCCAGGCTCAAAACCAGCCCAGGCAGAAAAGTCTGTGAAGATCTTATCTCTAATACTACCAAAAAGCCTGAAATGGAGCTGTGGCACCAGCCTTGAACAAAAAAGCTCAGGGACAGTGCCCAGGCCTGAATTCAAGCCCTCTACCCCTGTAAAATAGATTTTGTTCTTGAGTCTGTGCTTTCTTTTCAATTAATTTTTGTATATGATGTTACGGTATGGATGAATTGGATTTGTTAGATACTAGGGATTTAACCAAAGGTCCTGTTACATGCTAAGCAAGCAGTCCTCCAACTGAGTTATACCTCTTGCTCCTTGAATATGTTTTTTGACATAAAGTTATATGTTGGTTTCAGTACTTAATTGTTGAAGTAAATTTCCTTTTCTCCATTGAATTTGCCTCTGGTCAGAAATAAACTGTTCATATTTGTGCAGTTGTATATATGGATTCAGTCATTTCCAATGTACTTTTTGCCAATATTTCTCCTATATTTCAACATCTCTAGTTTTATGAGTCTTGAAAATGCATGGTTTAATATTTCCAGCTTTTTTTTTTTTTTGGTAGGTCATGGTGCCTGAACTCTGGGCCTGGGCGCTGTCCCTCAGCTCTTCAGCTCAAGGCTAGCACTCTACCACTTGAGCAAAAGTGCCATTTCCAGCTTTCTGGTGGCTTATTAGAGATAAGTCTTACAGGCTGGTTTTGAACTGTGATGGTCAGACCTCAGCCTCCTAAATAGCTAGGATTACAGGTGTGAGCCACCAGCCCCTAGTTTTTGGTATTTTTTTAAAAATTGTTTTGGTTATTTTGGTCCTTTCCATATAAATTTGAGAACCAGCTTGGTACTTTGTACAAAAAGCTTCTGAAATTTTTATTAGATTTGCTTTCGCTCTGTGCAGCATTTTAAGGACAATTAACTGTCTAATGAATGAATCTATAGTCTGTTTATGGAATATAATTTAGTATTTGTCTTATATTTCTCTCATTCCAGTTCTTATACACAGACCTTGTAACCTGCAACCTCTATTTTTTATGTGTACATTAATTGCACAGGGGGATTTCATTGTTAGATTTCTACAGAATTAGAGTATGTTCCAGTTAATCTCACCATCACTCTCATATCATTCTTCCCAGAACAATTTTATCAAGTTTCCTCCTCCTCCTTCTCCTCCTCCTCCTCCTCCTCTTCCTTCTTCTTCCCTCCTCCCTTCTCCCTCCTCCCTCCTCCCTCCTCCCTCCTTCCTCCTTCCTTCCTCCTTCCTCCTCCTCCTCCTCCTCTTCTTCCTCCTCCTCCTCCTTCTTTTTTGTTGTTGTTGTTGTTGGTCATGGGGCCTGAACTCTGGGCCTGGGCTCTGTCCCTCAGCTCTTCCGCTCAAGGCTAGCACTCTACCACTTGAGCCACAGCACCACTTCCAGTTTTCTGGTGGTCTGTTGGAGATTAGAGTCTCACTGGCTGCCTTTGAATCATGATCCTCAGATCTCAGCCTCCTGAGTGGTTAGGATTATAGGCGTGAGCCACCAACACCTGACTCAGATTTCATTTTTAACATCTTTGAAAATAGAGCACTCTATTTCCATCATATTTGTCTTCATTCTTGTTAGTCCAACCCCCTCTCTTTAATACTTACCCCCACACATACCCTGTACTTTCACTGTTTCCTCAGCTACCTCTTATGAATAGCTTTCATTGAGGTACTTTATGCTATTTTCATATATAATTGCATTGTATTTCAAAATTATTCACCCTCTTTCTTTTCCTCTTTCCCCTCCTTTTATCCTCCTAAGTAGTCTTTTTGTTAGATTCATGTTCTGTATTCATATATATAATTATGTATATGTGAATACATATATGTGTGTGTGTATGTGTATATATGTATGTATACATACACACACACACACAATGTATGTACATGCTCCTGAATGTGTATGTCTCTTAGGTCTGGCTTCCACATATGAATGAAAACATTTTTAGATTGTGTTTTGAACTGTAATGTCTTTTTTTTTTTTTTTTTGCAATCATGAGGCTTAAACTTAGGGCCATTAGGGCCTGGGCACTGTCCTTGAACTTCTTTTGCTCAAGGCTAGCACCCTACCACTTGAGTCACAGTGCCACTTCCAGCTTTTTCTGCTTATGTAGTACTGGGAAGTTGAATCCAGAGCTTCATGCATGCTGGTCAAGCACTCTACTACCACTGAACCACATTCCCAACCTCTGTCTTATTCAATAACATTTTCTAGTTGCATCAGTTTTCATACAAATGACATGATATCTTTTTCTCTTTATGGCTGTGTGATATTCTATAGTGTGATGTTTGTGTTTGTGTGTGAGATCCATCTGTTTTTGGGCACCTTTGTTGATTCCATTAGTTTATTGTTACAGTGCTACAGTAAACATGGATATGCAAGTGTCTTTCCTAGGGTATTGATTTACTGTCCTTTAGATATATGCCCAAATGTAACATGGCAGGGTTATAAGGAAGGCTTATTTTTAGTCTTTTGAAGAACTACCATACTGATTTCCATGGTTCTCACTATCAGTGTCTTTGAGTTACTTCTTCCTCACATCCTCTCCAACTTTGTTGTTTGTTTTCTTGATGGATGCCATTCTGGCTGAGATGGAATCCTAGTGTAGCTTTGATATGCATGACCTTTATAGCTAAGGATGTTGTGTCTATTAGCCATTTTTTTCTTGAGAACTGTCCAGTTTGCTTGCCCATTTGTTAACTTTATTATTCTCTTGCTGTTTAATTTTTTTTAGTTCTTTGTATATGCTGGATATTAATCTGTTATCTGACTAGCTGGTGAAAATTTTCTCCCATTCTGTATTTTTCTCTTGGTTCTAGCAATTGTTTCTTTTGCTTTACAGAAACTCTAATTTGATGTAGTCTCATTTGTCAGTTTTTGCTCCCATCCTCTGGACAACTGTAGTCCTATTCAGAACATAATTGCCTGTGCCTGTAAGTTCCAAGGTTTTCCCTGCATTTTTCTGTAGTCAGAATAAGGTTTCAGATTTTAAGTCTATTGATTTTTTTTTTTTGGTATAGGGTAGGAAATAGCTAGTTTCAGGCTCCTGCAAGTAGATAACCACTTTTCTCAGCACTTTGTTGAAGAGACCCTATCTTTTCTCCACTCTGTGTGTGTGTGTGTGTGTGTGTGTGTGTGTG